TCACCACTTCAAGTGGTTACCCCACTCATACCACATCCCCAACTGCCCTCTCCTCACCCCCTAGGATCTCAGAGAGCMCAGGGACATCCACTTCTACCCCCTGGTCTTCTTTTCATCCAGGCGTGCCCTCCATCACTCCTGCATCCAACACGCCCCCTTCTATCAGTCCCTCATCTGTGGACGACACCAGTCCATTGAGCACAGTGACAGGCAACTCCTCCCCCCACACTAGGACCATCGCCTGGTCTCCCACTGTCCAGGACATAGACTCCACACCACTTGTTAGTACAATCCATATCACCCCCAGTATGCAAACTACCCTGGCAAGTACTGAGAGCACCTGGGGAAGTTCTCTTGATACAAGTATTCAGGTGACATCTGACACCTCACTGCCAATGTCCTCCTCTGCTATATTTACCTCTGATGGAGGGTCCTCCTTTTCTCCTGTACATAGTACTTTTTCTCCTATAAGTACGGATTCTTCCCTCTCTTCTCTTCCTACCTTCACTCCATCACCACACTCGAGTAGTCTCATGTCAACGTCACATGTCTCTATGACACATAATGACTTGTCCACTCTTAAAACCTCTGTCTCCACCCCTCCAGTGGTAACCTCACTCACTACCTCCCGTGAGTCCAGCACAGAAGCCTTCACTAGGGAGACCACTTCCACCAATGCAATAATGACGTCCTTTGGGACCTTGATCTCTTCTACACCCACAGTAAGACTGTCCTCTCCTCTCTCTTCTCCCACCAGCAATTCCATGCTCCCCACTACCACCAATGCTGGCCCCACCTCCCCACCTATCTCCAATACAGAACAAGTCAGCTCTTCCACCACCACCTCTTCTCTGTCCTCTTTTGCAACTACCAGAACTTCTCCAACCATTTCCTCGCTGACCACAACTCTCACCGAAATAACCCCCTTTTCTTTTATTTCTCTTCCTTCCTCCACACCCTGCCCAGAAACTATCACCATTACAATAGTCCCCACCTCTCCCACTCCTCCATGCATAGAAGTTGATCCCAGCACTGATGTTACCTCTTCTCCCACCACGCCATTCTCYGTCCTTCCCTCTTCTACTGAAATGGTCACCCTTCCCAGTTCTACCAGTATAAGAACCATGTTTCCAACACATCCGGATGCTCCTACTTCCATGACTCCGGAATCTGAGCCCACCAACATTATAACTGATGCTCCTAGTTCTTCTGGCCCTACAACTGTACCCATGAGCACAGATTTAATGAGCACCCAAATGCCCTCCAGTGAGACCCCACCTAGCTCCGACTCTGTCACCACCCCACATATGCCTGGCTCCACTAATCTCCCACCGACCACAAAGCCAAGCAGTAGCCCTCCAACGGTCATGACTTCCAGCGAGTTGACACACCCCACTCCACCCACCACCAGAAGCCCAGAGACACCAGTGGCCACCACGAAGACTCCCACCACCCTGACGTCCCCAAGAACAACTCTGACCACCACTCAGATGACTACAGTGTCAAGAACAACCCCAGGTTGGACCTTCTCTCTCCCTCCTCTCTTTCCTTCCTCCTCCTGCCAAATTCCCATGTCCCCAAGAGCAGGTCCTTTTGGAACTTCAACTTTTCTCTGTGCTTTCCAGGTAACTGTGACAATGGTGGCACCTGGGAACAGGGCCAGTGCTCTTGTCGCCCTGGGTTCTCTGGGGATCRCTGTCAGCACAAGGATATCGGGTGCCAGAATGGGGGTACATGGGATGGCCTTAAGTGCCTCTGCCCCACCACCTTTTATGGCCCTCTCTGTGAGTTTCCGGCGGAACAGTTGGAGCTAGGTGAGTTGCTAAAGCCCAATGCTCTCCGCTTCCTCCTGCGTGTGCCTCTGGGGGACCTGAGCTACCCATGTACCATCTTTCCAGTCCTCCCATCCTTGGCTTCTCTCCCATGCCCTGTGCTGTCTCATGCCATGTCCTACTCCCTTACTAACGCCTCCTGGTTGGGGCTGCTTGGTGCTGTCTTCTTTCCTGTATAACAAATGACCCTAAACCTATCAGCTGAAACAACACACGTGATCATTTCACACTTCTGTGGATTAGATGTCAGATGTGGTTCTCACTGGTGTCACCAGGGCTGTGTTTTTCTCCAGCAGATCTGGGGAAGAATCCAATTCCTTGCTACTTTCCGTGTCTAGAGCTTCCTATATTCCTCGTGTCATGGTCCCCCCCCCCTCCGCAAAACCACCTGGGTCCTCTGTGTCTTTCTTCCATAGTTGTCTTCCTCTGATTGATTCTGATCTCCTCTGCCCTCTGCCTCCTTCTTCTACTGTTGATGACCCTTGTGATCACATGGGACCCACCTGATTGGGCCAGGTTAATTTTCTCATATGGAGGTAAACTGATAAACAGTGGAATTTTATCTTCATTTTTAACATGGATTATCTGTAATCTAATGGGGTGCAGTGGCTCACATCTGCAATCTCAGGTACTTGAGGGTCTGAAACAGGAGGCTTGCAAGTTCAAGACCAGGCTGGGCAATTTAGCAAGTCCCTGTCTCAAAATAAAAAATAAAAAGGGCTGGGGATGTGGCTCAGTGGTACAGTGTCCCAAGTTCACTCCCCAATATCATACACAAAAATAATCTGTAATTTTTTTTTGGTATCAGGGATTGAACCCAGGGGCACTTAAGCACTGAGCCACATCCTCAGCCCTTTTTAATATTTTATTTAGAGACAGAGTCTCACTGAGTTGCTTAGGACTTTGCTAAGTTGCTGAGGCTGGCTTTGAACTCGAGATCCTCCTGCCTCAGCCTCCCAAGCTATTGGGATTACAGGTGTGCACCACTGTGTCCATCTGTAAATTTAATTTTATACTGTGGCTTTTTCTGGGGACCAGGGCAGGACAACTTTGGGGGTCATTACTCTGCCTACCCCAGGAGGGCATGCCTCTGGACCACTTTCCCTTACCTCCAGACAACTTGTCCCAGAATTTCTTCTTTTCTCCCTACTGCCATTCAGTCAGTCCTCAGAGACAAGGAAGCAGGCAGAGCTGGGAGCCTGGGGGTGGGGGTGTGGATGGTGGGGGTGGTGACGACAGATGGGGTAGTGACCAGAGCAGAGTGTGCTGTATGCAGGCACAGTGGAAGCCGAAGTGGGCATGGAGGTGTCTGTTGACCAGGAATTTTCTCCAGACCTCAATGACAACACTTCCAAGGCCTACAGAGATTTCAACAAGACCTTCCAGGATCAGGTGAGGGGCAAAGGGAGGGGAAGTGAAGGGTCCTCCCCTGCAGCGGGTGCCCTCAGGTCCACAGGTTCAGATGTGAGCCCAGGGATTCTTGAAATTTCAGATGATGAAGATTTACAAAGGCGTGCAGGGGTTCAGGGCTGTGAAAATCCTCTCCTTGAGGTAGGAGATCCTGCTGGGGATGTGGAAGCAGCCTTAGGAGGGGATAGGGGCGTGAAGAAGGGCTGGGGCATCTATCCCTTGCTTCTTGAAGCATTTGCTTTCATAAAGAGAGGGGTGGAGGAAGTACACAGGGACAGGCAGGGAAGTGTCAGGACTGTTGTCTTGTCCTCTGTCTGGCACTGGCTCTGCTTGAGTCAGTCAGCATGAGAGAGACGGATGGGGAAGACAGAGAGCCCCGGAGAAACAGCTTTGGTGGTTTGGTGACGGCTTGATGTCATGCAAAGAAAACTCCCATTATCAGGGATACTGGCAGCCCCTTTTGAAAAGCATGTGTGGGTAAAAAGAAAAGCATGGGTGGCTTTTCACCTCGGGACCTCTAACCCTTTTGCATGCACTGTGGTTGGTTCTGGAGGAGCCCCTCCCAGGACCTGTGTGCCCCAAGCCTGGGCACCCTCTAAGGTTCCTGGCCCCCTCAGGAGTGGCAGCATCGTGGTGGATTATCTGGTCCTACTGGAGCTGTCCTTCAGCCTGCAGTTGGAGAGCCAGTATGAGAAGGTGAAGACGGTCCTGAAGGAGGAGCTCCAAAGTGTCATTCAGGATGGGGACAGCTGCCAGCATAACCAGAGTGAGCAGAAGCTGAAGGGAGGGGTCAGAGTGGTCATCCCAGCTTGCTCCAGCTCAGTCCAGGGGACTCTTAGGGTTCAGGGGCCGTCCCATGGTTCCTCTGGCAGGGGCACAAGTCTACACCAAACTGGGTCAAGGGTGGGCTCAGGAGGGCTCAGAACTGGGGTGCTAGGAAGAGACCCCCTGGCAGGTATGCTCAGTGCTTCTGGGATGCTTGGGTGTCTGATTATTCAGCGGGGAGGAGGGAGGGAGCAGCAGCAGCCTTCCCTAGTTGCCCCTCCACATCTGGGGAGTATGGAGAGAGCCCTCTTAGCCCTCCCCATCCCTGCCTGCCCCATTTCATCTGAACCTGTTTCCCCAGCCCTGTGCTTTAAACCTAACTCCGTCAAAGTGAATGAGAACATCAGGACAGAGCTGACCCCAAAAGGTGAGGAGGGGGCAAAGGGCTGAGTGGCTTCAGGTGGCCATGATCCTTCCCACAAGGGACACTTGTCCATTGAAGTTCCCCTGGGGGAGCAGGGGGAGAACTTTTGGGGAGGCAAGAGATGAGGACCCTTCCTGCCCTTCTGGGCTCCAGGCTTACACCTGAGTTCCCGCAAGGCAAGGTGAGAGGGTGGGGAGCGGGAGGTTGCCTTTCCCGCTTCTAATCCCAACACCCGCGCTCCGAAGAGTCCTCCCCATGCGTTTCGGTCCCCACAACCAGGCCCTGAGAGGAATGAATGAGACCCTGGTCTCTACACCCCCCTCCTCCCCCAGCCATCTGTAGCAGAGCGGCTGCCAAGGGCTATGAGGAATTCTACTTCCCCCTGGTGGAGCAGAATCGGCTCCGTTGCGTCACCAACTGTACGCCCGGCGTGGACGGTGCCATCAACTGTGGACAGGGCCAATGCCTTCTGGAGAGGAGCGGTCCCGTGTGCAGGTGAGGCCCCGCCCTCGCTGGAAGCCCCGCCCCTCGTTCAGGGACACGCCCTCCAGGCCCGCGCCCCGCCCCAGGCCCTGCCCACTCGCCTTAGGGTGGAGCCCCGCCCCTGAGGCCCCGCTTGTGACCTGTCTTGAGACCTGTGACCTTTCCCCAGATGTTTCTCCACTGACACTCATTGGTTCTCGGGGTCGCGCTGCGAGATGGCCATCCACTGGAGGGCGCTGGTCGGGGGCCTGGCGGGGGGCGCCGGGGTGCTGCTGCTGCTCCTGGGGCTGCTGAGCGTCTGGTTGGTGCGCTCCCGGGGAAAGGACCGCCAGCGCCGAGGACAGTGAGTGCTCTAGGGCCGCGGTGGGGGCGGCCAGAGGGGCCCAGGGACTGGGGCTTGCCTGACCGCATGGCGCCGCCATCTAGGTCCTGGGACAAGGACAGGCAATGGTTTGAGATCTGGGATGAAGACACCGTGGGGACTTTTTCCAACATTGGCTTCGAGGACGACCGAATAGGTGAGTCTTTCTTGGGAAGATGGCAGGGTTTCCCTGGGCATCACTGTGGCCTGGGCAGGATGGGACAGTTTTGTATGTCGTATCAGGGAGTTTGTGTCATCCCTCCTGAGAAAGGTCCTGTTCCTGCGCAGGCCATCCCCAGGCAGAGCAGCCAGCCACTTGGGGCCCTGCCTTTGGACATGGAGTTTCCACCACGTCCAGTCTCACTCCTTTTCTCTCCCCTTTGCTTCTCTCTCTTCTCTCCCTAGTCAATGACAAAAGCTTCCACGTGGCCTTGGATAATGTGGACACCAGCACGAAGGTGAGGGGGCAGAGGGAGGATGCTAAGGACCTCTCCCAGCTCCAGTGCCGGATTTCCCCCAGCCACTGGCCATCTGGCCAGCCCACGCAGGTGGTCCCCTGTTCTCAATCCCTCTCACCCTATACTCTGTGGCAGGTACACATTCAGAGACCTGAGATGGCCTCATCCTCGCTCTGAGCCCCGTGGGGCCTCTTCACCACCCCCTCTACCCTGCCCAGGACTGCAGGAGGGAACCATCTACACTGCATCCATTTCCAGAGGTGGCCTCAGGCGCCTGGTGTCCTTGGGGCAAATTGAGACTGTTCCCTTTATCCCCATCCTCCCAACTGGGCTGAAATCCACCTGGAGACCCAGCTCACATCCAGGCTCTTCTGCTGTGGGACCTTGAGCGACTCAGTGTTTTCTCTCACCTCAGTTTTCTCACCTATAAAGTGGATATAACACACTTGTCCTGATACCTCCTACTGTTACTGTGAAAGCCACGTGTTTGGTCAGTTTTGTTCCAATCTATCCACTTGTGTCAACCCTCATGTTTAGGTCACCTCCCTCAGGTCCCCCTTCCCCAGGTTCTTCCCCTGGTCTCCAGCCTTGGTCCCTATTTTTCTGTTTGCACCCAATTACTATCCCAGATGTTTCGGGTCCCTCACCCTGAACCCATAGGCAGCCCACCCGTCTCTTWCTCTCTCTCCTAGATAACTGCTTCTGTGCCCCTTGTCTTTCCCTTACTGAGCCAGTTCCTTAAACCAGTCCACTCCCCCAGCCCTATATCTCCCCCAGTTTTTGAATTCCCCCTCTCCCACCCTGGTATTCTCAGCCCTGAATCCTTGCCTCCCCCATCCCAGCGCTCCCGTGTAATCTTATCTCCTCCCCACATGCCTGTTCCTAGACACAGACAGATACTCCTGGCTTCTGAGGGTCCCCCAACTGGCACTCCCCTAGCCTCATCATTCTGAGGCTCTACCCCTTCCTCTCACCCCAGGGCATCTGGATCCCTGTGGGCAGGGGTGGAGCCTGAGTTTCCAGAGCTCCCAAGGATGGGGGGAAGTGAGGCCCCCTCCTCCTTGTTTCCCTGACCCGCCTCCTCCCCTCTCCCCTCAGCCTCACGGCCTCCTTCCCATCGCTCCTGCTTCTTCTTCTTCCCCTCTCTCCTTCGGATTACCCCATCCCTGCAGCGATCTCTGAGCCTGAAGCCCTCGGACCTCCTTTGCCAGGAAGATCAAGTTTGGGGATGGGGAGTTGTGGAATCTCCAGTTCCCCAAGTGAACACAATATAGCATTTATTATCAAAGAAACTGTTCGGTATTCGGTGTCTTTCTCCCCTGCAGCCCCATCTTGTCCCCAGCAGTGTCCACTTGGTTGGAGAACAGGGACTTCCTGATGAGATGTAGGAGGGCCAGGGAAGCATCCCTGTCTCCCAGGGTGGAAGGAAGATCTGTGGGCAGCCCTCAGGGCCATGACTACCTCAAGCTTGGTGGGGGGACCCATTTTGTTAGCTATTGGTTGGGTGGCAGGGAGTCTCTCCATTAGCAGCAGGTGAGGGTCTCTTAGATTTTGTCACCTGTGTCCTTCCCCTTTTGACCTCAGAAGCTTAGGGCTGGGTTTGGAAGGAGTTAGACCCTGGGACTGGGGCAGGGAAGTGTCCAGTTTGGGCTTGCTGCCTTTTCTGTAGAAATATAAAGTTGGGCCCCCAAAGACCTTGAGCATCCCAGATCCCTTCTTGCAAACACGTCCTCCCACCAGGGCCTGTCTGTGCGGGCTCAGACCCTCCTGTTGCCACCATTATGGGCTCTTGGTCCTGCTTGGCTGGGGCTGAGATGGTCAGAAATAATCTATCCCCGTGATCCTTTGGGTGGGGGTTTGGGAGAGGCCCCCATGGACCTTTGCCCTAGGCAGAAGCTGGCCCATGGCYTTTCGTCACCTCTGATTCTGGCCAGGGGTGGAGTCGGGCCATAAAGCCTCAGGTGTGAATGGGCGCCCCACCTGATGGGAAAGCACTGGGAATTCTGAAGGGGCAGCTGGAGGTGGGTGGTGGGGAGAGAAGGCCGAGAGCAAGGGGGTGCTCCTTGGGCAAGATTCTCCTTCACCTGTCCTGCGGGGTGTCCCTCCTGAGACACCCCTCCCTCCTCAGTCACCCCTCCCTGGCATTTCTTGGTCCCACCCCTCTGTCAATGTCTCAGGCTCACACCCCTGCCTGCCTCCTGTCCCTCCCTCTTGACTTGTCCCACCCTGTGACACTGTCTTCCTCTGGCTGGAGTGACCCTGGCTCAGGGGAGTCAGTGCGTCAGGAGTTAGAGGGGAGGAAGGTTGAGAGGCTGCCCTTTAGCCCACTCCCTGTAGTCACTGTGTGTCACCCATCCCGTGTCATCACCTTGCCCCCACCCTGGGTCAGGAGCTGTCCTTCCCCAAGGCAAAGGTCTCCAGGGTCCTTTTTATAGCTGCTCCCTCCTTGGGAGGCTCTCATTTCTTGGCCCCTCTCCTGAGAGGGAAGATCCTGGAGCCAGGGGCGCACAGCCCGGGAGATGCTGGTGACCTGGGTCCTGCTGCTGGCTCTCCAGCTCTCGCTGTCCACCAGCCCTTCATCTTCAACAACAACAATATCAGGTGAGTGAGACCCAGCCTGGTGCTTCCTGGCTTCCGGCAGAGCCGCAGGTGGTTGGCTTCCCTCTGTCCTTCCACCTTGTGTCCTCATCCTGCCTCTGGGGTGCTTAAGGGGCCCTGCAGAGGCTGTAGGTGCAGAGGAGGGGTGCATCCTGCGGTCCTGGAGCTGATGGCTAAGGCAGCTCCAGTTGGGATGTGGCTGGGAGCTGTCCCTGCTGCTCTCCGGCCTTCTCCAGAGGATGGGGCTCTTTCTTCACATCCACAGTGCTCTCTGCCCTCAGCCTCGGGGCTGCCCTGCCTGGAAACCTGGGTRTTTCCAAGCCTCCCAGAGGCACCTCAGAAGCTCCTGGCCCTGGCAGGGAGGGAAGGTGTTGGGAGGCATCCGGCAGCTTCCCCACTTGACTTGGGAGGAGCTGCAGGTACACCTGGGAAAGGTGGAAATGACCATTAGAGATGGTGGGTGGGCCGTTATAAGTGGTTAGAGGCTGGCTTTGGAGGGTCCTTGTTGAGCCCGGCCACAGCCATGTCTGGGAAGTGACTAGTTATAAGCTGGTTTTGCTTGTTCAAGATATACTTTCTGATTCCCTCAAGGGAGGGCAGAGCTCTCATGGAATTGGGAAGGCTGAGAGGAGGAGAAGTGAGGTCCCAGGTGGAAGAGGGGGGCCTGAGTGAAGGCCAGGGAGTGGGCTGTGGAATGTGGGGTGGGGTATCTAGAGCCCTGTGGGGAGGCCATCAGGAAGTCCCAAGGCCTTAGGGGCCTCCTCAGGCCAACAAGCCCTGACAGACCTCCCCCTCCCCATAAGCCGAGGAGAGAGGAGCAAGGACATGGTGGACCTTGGARATTTAAGGACATTATGAGAGGACATTAATACCAGGTCCATTCACTTTCAGTTAACATACCAAGAGGAGGAAGCTGCGAGCGGGGGTCTCTCTTAGGAAGGGTCCTCCTGTCCCTCCCCAGGCCTGTCCCAGCGTGGTACAGGACATCCCTCTGGCCAGGTTATCTGAGGGGCCGGAGGAGGTGATGTGTGGGTGGATGATGAGGGGCCCAACCAGGCTCATTACCCAGCTATGCATGGGAAACCCCAACCGACCAAAGCCCATGTCCCCCCAGTGCTTAAAACTGGGTTGAAATGATAACACCAGTGAATCCATGGGTGTGCAAAGAGGCAGGAGAACATCTGTCTACAGCAAGTGCCAAGGGCCGTCTGGAGGGTGAGGTCAGGCACGGGGGCTGCTGAGGGGGATTCAGGGGACTGCCCATACCCAGGGGCCCCCTCGCAGAGGGCGCTGCTCTCTCCAGAACCACTTCCCAGGGGGCAGCTCCTGGGATGATTCTCACATGGATGTGGAGGGAAGTCAGGACAAGGAGGAGACAGGCCCAGAGAGGGTGAGTGACTTACTGGGGGCCACACACACTGGGTTTGTGCCTGCATCCCTCCTGGGCGGGTCCTCTGCACCCTGCTCCCTCCCCCTAGGCATGTGTTCTGGGTCCTCAGGGAGCAGCTCAGGTGTCAGGCCAGGGACCGCTGTGGGAGTTGGGGGATCGGTAGTTTCCTTTCCTTTCTACTTTGTCCCCCCTTCTGGTTACTCTCTGTGAGAACTGAGGAGGTTTTGGATAAGCAGACAGTTGGGGGGAAGAAAACCTCAGTGAGACTCTGGGGAAACCATTCCCATGGCTGTGGGGGGACCAAGGCCTAGGGAGGCCCCAGGAGGTGAGGAGGGGGCGTGTGCCAGGCAGAGCGAGTGTTCAGTGGGGTCGAGTGCTGTGGTGTTGGGTCATCTGTGGGTGGTGGGAACAGAAGAGCCAGGCTGAGGCTTTAGATACCAGAGGAACCCGTGTGGGCTGAGCCAGGCTGGGGACGTCCCTGCCATGGGGCAGACAGACATCAGAGGCCTGTGGAAAGGCACAGAGAGGAGCCACCTGGAAGGCAGAGGAAGGCTCCACCCAGTCTCCAGGGAATGGAGGCTTCCCTGGTAGAGGGCTGTGGGGGCACCCAGATGGATGGTTCTGTCGACTGGAAGGGCAGGAGCCTCTTGATGGTGGATAACAAGTGTCTAAAGTTGAGCCTGTTGGGTTTGGGATGAGCATGGGGTTTCTGGTGAAGCTGTCCTAGGGCCTCCGGGGAGGGGGACACAGCCAGGAATTCTCCATTCTCCATCAGAGAATTCCAGAAAGTCCCAGGGATAAACATGAGGGTCACAACCCAAGGCCTGTTTTGTGGACGCGAAGTTCAAGGTGTTTGTAGTAAGGTGTGGGGGAGGGGAGCTCCTTGGGTGACATGGAGCAGGGGAGAGTGTCCGTCCTGGAGGGGCTGGGGCAGGGGTCTGAAGGGACTAGATGGGTGGAGGTGGATGTAAAAATGTTCCCCATCTACAAAATCAGGAAGGACGTGGTGGAGGTGAGAATGGATTTCTCACAAGAGACAAGGGGCAACCTTTGAAACCCATGTAATGTGAATTCCGAGCCTCGAAAAGGAAGTGCTGCTTCCCAACCTGAGTCATAAACTTACTCATTCGGCAAACACCGGGGACCGAGGGCCAGCTCARCCTGGGCAGGTGCTGTGGACAAAGCAGTA